CTGCAGGCCCTCGCTGTAGGCCGTGAAGATGTCCAGGCTGCTGGGCACGCGCGCCGGTGGGAAGTCCGTCAGGTTCTGGCAGCTCTCCTCCTGCTGGTCCATCTTCCGCGGGCGGCCGTTCCTGCGGGGGTGCCCACTCTGCGCGCAGCTGGGGGCGGACGTGGGGTGTAAGCCACCGCCTTGGACTCCAGGCGCTCCTTACACCCCATCACTACTAAACGGTGACTCCCAGCCTCCGGGAGATCAACCGCAATCCAGCCATCTGCACTTTTTAACAATAAAATTTGAATTTTGAATGTGTCCCATATCGCTCTAGCCGGTCTGGCTCAGTAGATAGAGCATCTGCCTACGGACTGAAGGGTCCCCGGTTCGATTCTGGTCAAGGGCACCTGCCTGGGTTGTGGGCTCAATCCCCAGTGTGGGGGCGTGCAGGAAGCAGCCTATCCATGATTCTCTCTCGTCATTGATGTTTCTATCTCTCTCTCCCTTCCTCTCTGACATCAATAAAAACATATTTTTTAAAAATGTGTCCGATTTTGCAGGGAGGGCTAGGAGGTGAGGGTTGAGCTGTCTTATCCCAGAGCTCAGTCCTTGTTTGGCCAAAGAAGGTCATCCCGACCAAGGTGCTGACTCAGTTTCCCCAGGAACGCCGCGACGAGATGGAAATGGCGGGTCCTCACGGGGAAACCTTGGTGCTCATCCGGGCCTGGTCGCGTGTTTGGGAAGGGACTACGTCCTTCTCTTTGGGGACAAGTGGGGCATCGGCCCCCCTGCCACGCCCACGAGGTGGGAATAAGACTGGACCGTCCTTCCTTCCTTTGCCGCGACCGGGTCTGTGGCGGGAACTGTCCTGCCCGCCCAGGAGGCCCGCTGCAGTTCCCATTCCTCCGGACCACGGAAGCTTCCAGATGCCGCCCAAGATGGACACAGGGACCCAACCCTGTGGGCCGAGGGATCTGGGGAAGTGACAGTCAGACCCGTCCCTGTCCTTGGATGTCTCTTTGGCGGGCTCACCAGCAGGACAGGTGGAACTTCCGTCCCCATGGAGGAGGGTGGCGACGCTTCCAGATTCCGCCCGAAACGAACACAGGGACCCAACCCTGTGGGCCGAGGGATCTGGGAAGTGACAGTCAGACCCATTCCTGTCCCTGGATGTCTCTTTGGCGGGCTCACCAGCAGGACGGGTGGAACTTCCGTCCCCATGGAGGAGGGTGGCGACGAGGGAATTTGGGGAGCCCCACTTTGGGGGACCTCAGTGGGGCACCAGTTCCCTTCCCCTCTCCTCCCCTGTATGCTCAGCGCTGACGCCCAATGAGGGGCTGCAAGGGGGTCGTGTGCCCACGCCCCTGAGTCAGGTGTCCCCCTGCCCGGCTCCCCTGGGAGAGGCCTCCTGCCTGCTGGCCTGGAACCCCCCCCCCCGGCCCCCAAGGTCACGGAACCCACTCATCCCTCTGGGTCGTCTTCCCTGAGGGCTTTTTGAGGGCTCGCTGCAAACCCAAGCGTGTGGGGAAACCAAGAGGAAGCTGGCGGCCTGTTACCCAGCGGGTCACAATCCGCTTTCTCCTGGGGGGAGGGGTCATCCTTCATCAGGACGGTCGGCGGGACTGGGGGGCCAGGCACCCGTGTGCCCCCCCCCCACCCCCCGCCCAGGGCGCCGCTGGAAGCTGAGTGCTGGCCTCGTCCTCTGCCCCGGGAAACTGGCCATGGGGGGCGGGGAGGGGACGGTGCCCAGGCCTTGCTGGCCTGTGGGAGGTCCTTTCCAGCCCTGTGCCCCGCTGTCCGCCTTCGCTGACCCCCCTGTGCCCCCCTGTCCGCCTTTACTGACCTGAATACCAGCTTTCTAGCAACTTCCGCGTGTGGATGCCCGGCCGCTCCCACCCACAGCCCTGCCAGCTCTGCGGGCAGCGGGGGAGCATTTGGGCGAATTACTCTGAGAGGGAGTCTGAGCTTTGATGCCAGAAGGAGCCACGTTTGCTGCGGGAGTGGCTGCAGGCAGACAGGGGTCACCCAGCAGCTCCCGCTTTTCCCAGGGGGTAGCAGGTGTGTGTACACGGCGAGGCCAACCTCAAAATAGGCCAATTTCCAGGAGGAAATAGGCAGAGACAGGCCGCCAGGAGCACAGCAGTCACCTGACTCACAGACGCGGGCGGCTCGCGGAGGCAGGAAGGGGGGGAGGAGGCTGGGCCG